TGGTTTGATTTTATTTCAATAATTCGCTTGCGCATAGGGGTCTTTAGCAGTGGGAGGAATCCGGAGGACCCGGAGAAAACCCACGAGGTTGGACAGGCGACCCTACTCATTGTCACGTACAACCGGGGATTCTGAACCACGGCAGTTGATTTATTGACAGGCTTTATGATACAGCTCGCACGTACTAACCATTCGGCCATTCAACCCCCCCCCGTTAGAGCATGTGGAATCATGAAACTCTCCAAGATCAAAATGTAAGCGCTGGATAGTTTCCAAGATAGACTGAACACCTTTATAAACAATTAACACTGGGACTGAATTGAAAGCGTCTTACTCACTGAACCACATTGGCTCCTCTATAATTGAAGGGAGGGGGGGGGCGAATGGTTAGCGAGTGTGCGTTACATCATAAGGTCTGTACATTGAGTCAAGTGGCGTAGTTTTGATTTCCGCTTGTACATGAATAGGATTGGGGTCGCCTGTCCAATCTCATAGGTTTTCTCGGGTCCTTAAGTTTACCTCCCACTGCTAAAGACTCCAGCTAAAGCGAATTATTGAAATAAAATTGAACCTCTCATTGAAAACTGTAAAATGTGAAACCTGTCACTTCATTGTGGTGATGATTGAATAGAAACCTGTGAAATGTTGTGTCCTTTTTTGACTAGGCACCTCTTGCATGGTTTCTTGTTATCTTTAAACACTGTATGATGGTAAATGTCTTTAAAGGTTATATGATGGTAAATGTCTTTAAAGGTTATATGATGGTAAATGTCTTTAAAGGCTATATGATAGTAAATGTCTTTAAAGGCTATATGATGGTAAATGTCTTTAAAGGCTATATGATAGTAAATGTCTTTAAAGGCTACATGTATATGATGAAGGATATCTTTAAAGGTCGTATGATGGCAAATGTCTTTAAATGGTGGCAATACTGATGATAGTCTTCTCGTAAAGTTGTTTATTTTTTTGGTTGTTATAATTAAATCAAAGATAGGTTGCTAGGCAACGAAACATACGCCCACTGCAGCTAAGTCGTCAGACCAGTCAACAAGAGTTGTCGCATATTTTTTCTATTGTCGGTAATGAAACATTTATAATACACTAAAATCTGATTAAGAGTAACAACTCATTAAGTAATTATCAGAAAATCATTAGAATTGGTTTGGCTTTTAGTTCTGCCCCATGATAACGTTTAGTATACGAAACATTTAATATCATAGATTTAGCTGTTCAAGTTATCAAACTCTGTGTATCAATTTAAAGTCAATCGGATGATAACTTTGGTCTCTAGAGCATCCACAAGATTTTTCAAAATGATCAAGGGCCATAACTTTTGCAGTAATTATCGAAAATTATTGAAAATCACTAGGCTTCTTCGTCACATAGCCTTAAACACTGCGTATAAATTTAAAGTCAATCAGTTATTAACTTTACCCTCTAGAGCAGTGATGGGCAAACTTTTTACGTGAAAAGTCAAACACAAAGTGATCAAGGGCCATAACTCTGGTAGTAAATATCGAAAATTGTTGAAAATCAATAGGTTTCTTCGTCTCGTGACTTTAAACACTGTGTATAAATGTAAAGTCAATCGGTTAGCCTCTAGAGCGTCCACAAGATATTTCAAAGTGATCAAGGGCCATACTCTGTCAGTAATGTCTTACTGAGCCATCCATATCAATTTCTAAAAGATATATGGATGAATGTAGCCATATCAAGCTAACCAGAAAAACGAACCACAAGCATAACTTCATATGCATCATAGCCTGTACACACAATATTTTGAGCAGAACCTTTCTGATGAATTAAAAGAAAAAAAAAAATGTTTTTATTTATATCTGGGACAGCTGCTTTAACTATCAGTTTTCAGAATTCAATTATTTGCTGAAAACCTGCCATATTCAAGTACCGGTATACTGATACTTCCCATCAAGTGCTGCCAAAAGCAGTTATCTCAAAAGCATTGCCATGGCAACAGCGGTGAATTAATCGCAAGGGTCAGAACACTGGATAAATAATCAATTGTTTGCATTTCAATATCAGGTCCATACTTTTTCACGAATTGACAGTTTTATGGAAAACTCTTTGTGGTCGATATCCCATTTTATGTGCCCATAACAAGAATGTACTGTTTTTTTAAAGGGTGTATAGCTCTATTCTTTGGAACCTTAATGAGAGAGAGAGAGAGAGGGAGAGAGAGGGGGAAATGGTCCACTCCACACAAACTAGGTCGATTCAAGACTAACATTTGGTTCAATTTTATTTCAATAATTCACTTTAGCAGGGGTCTAAAAAATATCAGTGGGAGGTAAACTTAAGGACCCAGAGAAAACCCACAAGGTTGGACAGACGACCCCACTCCTAGTCATGTACAAGCGGGGAATCGAAACCACGGGACTTGACTAAATGACAGACCTGATGATGCAACGCGTACGCATTAACCATTTGGCCATCCAACCCCCTTACCTTAAAATAGATGAACATGGATCTAAAACCCCATATTAATGTAATATGATTGTATTAAAGGGACTTGTATTCAATTTTTAAACAAATTATTGTAATTTCTAATCAATTATGTTCTATGAAATGTACATGTATGTGAACCGTTCAAAATGAACGACAGTTGGTTACGTCTGCTTAGTCCATTCTACATGTCTATATATTATTATTTTGTTGTTTGTGAATCAGTCATTACTAATTAATTCTGCATTGTTTTGTAGAATATCTTTTTCTTTGTTCATTACAAATGGTGCCCGAAACCATAGCATACATGATTCATGTACTGATTATGTATTCATTGTGTCTTCAATATTAGGATCACGTGTTTTCACGGCAAGATTATAACATCAATACAGAATGAAATGCAAAAATATTGATTTAAATGCAACAATATTGAATTCTAATTTACGTTTGTTGAATGAACGGCTGAGAGACTTGAACATGCAGTGGGAACAGAATAGTACTTAGTAGAACTTTGAAGATACATTATGTAAGATTTGGAGAGAGAGAGAGAGAGAGAGAGAGAGAGAGAAATGGGTTTTAACGTCCACTCGACACAAACTAGGTTATTTCCGGACTAACATATGGTTCAATTTTATTTCCATAATTCGCTTGCACGTAGGGGTCTTTAGCAGTGGGAGAAAACCGGAGGACCCGGAGAAAACCCACGAGGTTGGACAGGCGACCCTACTCCTTGTCACGTACAACCGGGGATTCGAAATGTAAGATTTGGATAAAAAGCTGAACATTCTTTCTACAATACCTCAAAAATAGAAAATGTAAAGTGAAAATATTGAAAATTTCATTCAGATTACTTGTTATCACTGTTTGTAGTTTTGACAAGATGTGTGCATTGTGGTAAACAGGGCACTGGTATAATTGAGACTTAGCCTTGCTTTCCCATTTTTAAATAAAATTTTTAAATAGCGAACCGTTCTAATCTAGTTAAAATCTCGAGTATCTGATAGCATTGAAAGTTTATCATGGTCTTGTTTTGTTAATAAATGCCTAATTAATAATTTATATAACATCTAAGGCCCAAAGAAAGACCTGCAATAGGCAGATTTAGCTCTTACATAATGCATGTTTAAATACTATTTCATTTCATTAAAAGAATCAATTATCTTTTCAGTGGAATGCTGTATTGATTTATTGATTTATTTTCTTAAATGGAAATAAAAACATAATTACATGAAAAAAGAAAATTAAATATTTTCAATATGATTTACGCATATATATACATGTAAATAATGACTCTTGGGGTCCATTGAGTTGCATCATGAAATCACTGCATGAAAACTATTGAGACCCAACGAGGTGGAACTGAAATGTAATGTGGTTTAACGTCATACTGTTCTGCTCGAACTGGGCTAATGAAGATGGGCATATGCCATGCAGTGTACTATGAGGGAAACTTTGCCATGGACGGCAGCACTATGGCCAGCTCTTATATCGAATTCCAACTGCCATGGGATCTTTTTCATGTCCTCCAATGTATACACAGGACCTTGGTTTTTCGTGCCATCTGAACAACTAGACAACTCTCATCCCTGCATCTCTGACAAGGACAGCAGCGCTGTAGCCTACTCTTTTTTCAAATTCCAACTGTCAACAGTTCTTTTCAGTGCACGCCAATGTGTACACAGGACCTTTATTTTTCATACCATCCTAACAACTATACATTGTCCCTTACCAGGCCTTCCATCTTACACCACTGACAAGGGGGACCCCACTGGAAAATCCAGATGAACATTCTCGGAAAATGCATGGATCGAACACAGGATCTCCAGGTTAACGAACCAAAGTCCTACCCACTGAGCCACCATGGCTCCTCCAATGAGTTAGAATAGAAACACTTACATCCTACCCACTGAGCCACCATGGTTCCAACAATGAGTTAGAATAGAAACACTTAGAGCTACACAACAAATTGTTATGGTGTAATTAATCTGCTACCGATTTATTGAAAGATAAAAACAAATCAAAATCTTTATTCTGAGATAAAACACATTGCTATGGGTGTAATTATTTTACTATCAGTGCCAGACTAGGGCCCCAAGGTTTACCCATAAGCTGGGCAGGTTGAAGACTAGGGCCCCAAGATTTACCCATAGACTGGGCCTCAAGATTTACGTATAGAGGGCTATGCAGGATGAAGAGTAGGGCCTCAAGACCTAAGTGTATAATATTTTCGACACTGTCATAACCCCTTCTTACAATCACTGTAGTTTTAAACATCTGTCAACATCCCAGATTTGTTCAGTTGTGTTTAAAACTCACTTTCATCTTAATAATAATAATGTGCATATTTATAATGCACTATATCCACAAACTAAGTTTATGCTCAAAGCGCGACACAATTACTATCCCGGTCTCTAGGATACATCTTCCTCTAGTAATGAGAGTGGGGAAGTGGGAGGGGCCTCGTTAGCCTAGGGCCTCTCTTTATCTAAATCCGTCAGTGTTTACTACCATTCACACAAAAAAAAATTATTGGTAGTTACCAAGTTTCCGTGTCTTCTACACGTCTATGGCATGGACAACGATATCATTGGAAGTTATTTCTCTTTATGATTCTCAAACCTGAAAAATACAAATAATTTGTGATGGCCTCTATGACTGACTATACAATATAATAATAATATAAAGTTTACAAAAAAAATCAATTAAAAACTGCTGAAATAAAAGAAGCAAGTAACCATAAATAGGAAATTTCATGGATTTTTATTAAGTTTTGACATTTGATGTTTAGGGAATAAACAAGTACCACCATACTATGGAACAGGAACTGAGAATGACGTCATCGCAGCCATCTTAAAAATGTGAAATGAAATGGGGTTTAACATCCTACTGTTCTGCTCTGACTGGGCTGATGAAGACGGGCAAACACCAAGCAGTGTGCAATGAGGGGAATTATGCTCGGATAGCGGTGCTACGGCCTACTCTTTCACGTTCATGTCAATGTGTATACAGGACTTCGTTTTTTTTGGTCTCATCTGAACGACTAGACAGCTGTCCTTATCAGACCTCATATCCTGCACCACTGACAAGGGTCAGCCATGCCACAAGACCCTGATGATCGAACTCGCGACCTCAAGGGTTAGTGACGTCAGCACCTTACTCACTTAGCCACTTTGGCTCTTCTAGAAAATATAACGTCACATCAAAAATTGAAGTCTGTCAATCCATGAGCACTTGTCCAAGGAACAAGTGTGCCTCCAAAAATAAGGTCAGTAACATGAAGACTAATATATAGTCGAATAAACAGCTTCTTCTCATCCAGCTATGGCTAGTCACAGTTGGTGAAGTTATAGAAATATATAACATGGTTGAAAAATCAACTCCACCAACAGGGCTAATGGATGGTATTTAGTGAGGAGGAACAATATAGCTCTCAACAGCATTAATAGTGAAGTCTGTGTGTATAAAAATATATAACGGTCTAACTATAATGGGGTTTAAAGTAGCCAAGTCTTTAACCCAATATCATCCACAGTCTTCGACATTGCAAACACGACTTATTGGTCATTTCCATGTAAAGATACATTCCCGCGTACAAACTGGATGATTTGATGATATTTTTGGACTAAAAACATATTCAAACTAATTAATCAATCAAAACTTTGCTTCAAATCCTTCTCAAAACATTGTATTTGTGACAGAATACCCCTGCTATAAAAAATCTATTAAAAAGAGGTCATGTTTGTGTCACGTGACTTGGCTGACACGTTACCTAGCAATGGGTACGAAGCTGGAGGCGAATTCATTTCATATATACAAGTCAACGTTGTCTTTAATTGCTGTCCATTTATCATAAATATCAAAGCCTAATTAAATTCTTGTATTATCCACTGTAATTGTCTTTTTCTGTGTTTACCATCGAGTTTATCAACATATACATCAAGCGTTCACTAACGCTGGGAGATCAGACAATCTTTGCATAGAAACTTTGACGTCACTTAAGCAGACATCCCTAATCGTTGGGTTGCCAGTTAGGGAAACCCTTACATTTTTGTCCTGTATGCACTCCATGGGTGTTTTTCAAGGAATCTAGTATTTTTCTAATAAGATAAAATGTTTCTACTTTCCACATATACCAAAATTGTCATACTTGTATTGGATATAACCACCCAATAAATACTTTTCTGGGAAAGTATCTTTAAATCAACATTGATGTTGTTATCTTAGTGTGAAAAGATGGGCTTCTAATATCCAATATTTAAGACACAGTAAACATTTTAAAACTAGCACACAAATCGCATGCCAGAAGACAGGGCGAGATCAATGTCAGATTTCAACACCATCTTTAATTATAGGCTAAGCACACATGTGAATTATTTCCGATGACTGGCTCAATCACGGTGATGGCATTGATTTTGGTGTTTCTCTTGGCAACACTCTTCTTTATAATCCTCCCAAGGCATTTGGCATCTAACTGAATATAGTTGTTTATTTTTACAGAGAAAGATGGAGATATCGAGAGAGAGAGAGGGTTTAATGTCCACTCGACACAAACTAGGTTATTTCAGGACCGACACATGGTTAAATTTCATTTCAATAATTTGTCTGTTCGTAGGTGTCTTTAGCAGTGGGAGGAAACCAGAATTCCTGGAGAAAACCCACGAGGTTGGACAGGCGATCCTACTCCTTGTCACATAGAACCGGAGAATCGAAACCACGCCAGTTGACTCAATGACAGACCGTATGATACAGCGCGCACATGCTAACCATTCAGCCATCCAACCCCCTTTGTTTTTATAAATTTTTTGTTTAATTCTGAATAAAATAACAAAGCTGAGGACATTTAATGTCTCTTATCAACATTTGTGGAATTCTCAATCCCTTACAAATGACTACATTGGCCGAGAAAGTTCATCCAGATTTTCCAGCGTGGTTTCCCCTAGTCAGTGGTGCAGGACGGAGGGCCTGACAATGACAGTTGTCTAGTTGTTCGGATGGGACGAAAACCCAAGGTCCCCGTGTATACACCGGCGGGCATGAAATAGATCCCTTGGCAGTTGGAATTCAATATAAGATTTGGCCAGAGTGCTGCTGCCCAGGCACAATTTCCCTCATAGCACACTGTACGGTGTATGCCCGTCTTCATTAGCCGAGTCAAAGCAGAACAGTAGGACGTTGAACCCCATTTCACTTCATTTAACAAATGACAATATTGTGAAAGCTGAAGCTTTAATAGTAATTACAGACAGGTTTCCAGGCAACCAAACATACACCCACAGCAACTAAATCATCCAGGCTGTCGACAAGTGTTGTCACATACTTATTTATACTTTGTCAGTAATTGGGGGCAATTACAAGACAATTTCACAAAATGGTTCAATTCTTTTCAGTATTTTTACAAATATAGGCCATTGATATATAGGCCAAATGAGTTGTCTTATATCTCAACCCATGTTTTAGAGTTGGAATGAGTTATCTTTTATCTTGGGATGAGTTGTCTAAATTGGGATGAGTTGTCTGTATACCCCATTGATATATAGGCCAGATGATAAAACATGCCAGCATCTCCTATGGGTAAAGTCTTTTGATGAGCCTTGTCAATTTAATTTTTTGGAAATGAAATGAAATGAAATGGAGTTTAACGTCCTACTGTTCTGCTCCTAACCTGGGCTAATGAAGACGGGCATACGCCATACAGTGTGCTATGAGGGAAATTTTGCCCGGACAGCGGCACTACGGCCTACTCTTATATCGAATTCCAACTGCCAAGGGATCTTTTACGTGCACGCCAATGTGTACACGGGACCTCGGTTTTTCGTCCCATCCGAACGACTAGACAGCTTTCCTTGTCAGCCCCTCCGTCCTGCATCACTGACAAGGGAGAACCACGCCGGAAAATCTGGATGAACTTTCTCGGCCAATGCAGGGATCGAACACCCGACCTCCAGGCTAGCGAGCTAGCGTCTTACCCACTTAGCCACGTGATCCCCCTTAATTTTTTGGGATCACGTGGCTAGGTGGGTAAGACTCTGGCTCGCTAGCCTGGAGGTTGGGTGTCTGATCCTTGCATTGGCCGAGAAAGTTCATCCAGATTTTCCGGCGTGGTTTCCCCTTGTCAGTGACGCAGGACCTGACAAGGACAGCTGTCTAGTCGTTCGGATGGTACAAAAAACCGAGGTCCCGTGTACACATTGGCGTGCACGTAAAAGATCCCTTGGCAGTTGGAATTCGATATAAGAGTAGGCCGTAGTGCCGCTGTCCGGGCAAAATTTCCCTCATAGCACACTGTATGGCGTATGCCCGTCTTCATTAGCCCAGGTTAGGAGCACGTAAAAGATCCCTTGGCAGTTGGAATTCGATATTAGAGTAGGCCGTAGCGCCGCTGCCCGGGCAAAATTTCCCTCATAGCACACTGTATGGCATATGCCCGTCTTCATGAGCCCAGTTTAGGAGCAAAACAGTAGGACATTAAACCCCATTTCATTTCATTTCAATTTAAATTTTAATCCTTGTAAGGAGATTATCTACCTACTGTTGATATTTTAATTTTCTATTTTTAATTAAAGATACATTTACATGTTAACAAGAGGCAAATTGGCCTATTGCAGGGTTTCTTCATATTCCTGAAGCAATGGCCCGAGAAATCCCTCTCTAGCTATTGTTGTATTGAGACTGGAAATTTGAGTCTTTGACGGAGTGTGTCCATTGCCATCGTCCAATCAAATCTGTCCTGAGTAAAATGTAGGGAATTTTCATCGCTTAACCAGGGTGAACTCTTTAAAACAAAATCCTAGTGTTTGTTAGAGCTGATTTCAAGAAAAATTTTACCCTTGGATACATGGGGAACAAACACCGATACTCGCATAAGTAAATTTAGCCGTTGCTGAAACTTGCTATTGGAACGAAGATTCTTTGACTCAAATCTCCGATATTAATTCTATAATGGATTTAACGTGTACTAATTATTTCTGCCTACCTTTAAGTATTCGATAATATTTATCCATTTTTGTGAATAAAATCCATGAATTATTTATTTTATCAAAAAAGCACATGTTGTATTTCTATCTATTGCTCTTTGATCTGCTGTGTGGTCCAAGAGATGATAAAAAGATTGCACGTGCACTCCAATTACCAAATGTTTACATTGTAGCTATTTTGGATAGCCTCATTTATTACACAATTAGTTTCTCTGCAATATTCTGTAATGTACTAGTTAATTGGGCGTAATACATTTCGCACATTCTGACGTAATGTAGCTGGGTTTGTCACCAGACTCTTTATGGTAACATATTTAGAGCTCTAGCTAATCAGGATTGATTTTTTCACTTCGTTATGTACTGATTGTTAGCCAGTCATAATTTGGGACAGAAATTTGTGCCGAGTATGGTAGTGTTTGAGTGGGATTAGGTCTAGTATACGAAAAACGGCAAGAGAGAGAGAGAGAGAGAAATGGGGTTTAACGTCCACTCGACACAAACTAGGTCATTTCGGGACTAACATATGGTTTAACTTTATTTCAACAATTCGCTTGCGCGTAGGGGTCTTTAGCAGTGGGAGGAAACCGGAGGACCCGGAGAAAACCCATGAGGTTGGACAGGCGACCCTACTCCTTGTCACGTACA